AGAGAGAGAGAGAGAGAGAGAGAGAGAGAGAGAGAGAGAGAGAGAGAGAGAGAGAGAGAGAGAGAGAGGGGGGGGGGGAGAGGAGAGAGAGAGGGGGAGGGGAGAGGAGAGAGAGAGAGAGAGAGAGAGAGAGAGAGAGAGAGAGAGAGAGAGAGAGAGAGAGAGAGAGAGAGAGAGAGAGAGAGAGAGAGAGAGAGAGAGGGAGAGAGAGAGATCGACAGATAGATAAATAATCAGATAGATAGATAGAATGAGAGGAAAATATAGAGAGATAGAGACAGCGAGAGAAAGAGAAAGAGGGACCGACAGTAATTTTTTTTTTCAAACATCTCTTTGTTACACGTGTTTTTCACCACTAAATTCATCGCCGTGAATAATGGAGTAAAGCTAGCGACAATATCAATACAAATTTTCTCGCGATTCGTATTTCATCTAAAAACACTCATGTTAAAGTGCAACTGCAATCAGCCGGAGGTTTCAATACCTGCGCGACAATTTCTCGGTCTTAACGGCAGTCACAAGTTGTCTTAAATATTATGGTTTATTTCCCCAATGCGTGTTTTAGACTCGTGTAAGTAATATCTGTTTGTTTTCACTGCACTTCTATTTACAACATTATATCATTAATGTGATCGTTTAACTGTATTTGTTATTTATATGTCTGAACTTTTTGTTTCTGTCTGATTCGCTTTTCTTCAGTTTTGACTATCTGTATTTCCATTATCTAAAGGCTGGCGTTCTTGGCAACCGCCATGTAAGAAAACAATCCATGCAACTCGTATAATGACCGAGTAAGTCGTCACACTGTCCTACTGAAAACCTTCCTTGCTTTTTACTTAGGATGCACAGTCAATGGATTGCATAATACTAACCAGCAAAACGTCCCTTAGAAAAGGGGAAATCAGCATTTAATCTGCTTAGTACTGTTCTTTTAGTGTCTGGTTGATTACACAAGCCTCGTGTTTCTATCTTCAGAGTCATGTAAGCGAAGAAAACGTGTTATTTTCGATACACCGGAGGTATAAACACGCCCAGAGCACAAGGGATTAAGAATTCTACCGATGCTGCTGAACTTTGTTACGGAAAAGCAACAGAAACGGATGTGAGCTCATAATAAGAGGAAAGATGATCGCCTGTTGGGTAGTAACGGGGAATTTACAGAAATGATACGAAAACAAACATAAAAGGAATGATCTCGGATATGAATAAAAAAGAATGTACTTTCATCGCACTACGATAGAATTAATGAGGTCCTCACTTTTCTCAACTAGGTTAAGGCTGCGGTAAGGTCCTTTAAGCCGAAAAAAGCAAAGGAGATGAAAAACCCTTCTCAGGAAGAGAGACGACAGCACTAGAAGGAGTAAACATCTCCAGGATCTTTAAAAACTTCGTATGCCAAGGAGAAATCTTATTTACCCGGATATCAGCAAGAGGAAAGCCAACGAATTAGAAATAATTGGCCCTTTTTGCTAAACAGCCGGAAGGGTTTGATATGCTGTGATTGGGGGCAACCATTGCAACTATGTACGTTGCCATTGCAAAGGGAAAGCATTCCACAGACAAGTGTCATTCGACTTAACTATTTATACAAGTTAGTCATACATGACTACACTTGCACCAGATGCTCGAACACGATATCTTATGTCATATTACAGTAGAGGAGGAAGTGTTAGGTAACAAAACACCTGTCATATAGATGTCATATTTCCGGGCTTTGAAAAAAAATTATGATAATGGTAATGACAAGAACAACAACAACAATAGTAATGATTATACTACTATTTCTACTTCTGTTACTACTACTAATGACGATGATGATAATAATAATATTAATAATAATAACAAATAATAACAACAATAATGATACTACTCCTACTACTACTACTATGATAATAGTGAATATGATGATAATGATAATGATAATGATAATAATAATAACTGTAATAATAATATTAATGATGGTAATAATAATAATAATGATAATAACAATAATAATGATAATAATAATAACAAAAATGATAATAATAATAATAATAACAGTAATAATAATAATAATAATAGTAATAATAATAATGATAATAAAAATAATAACAACAATAATAATAATATAATAGTGTTAATAATAATAGTAATAGTAATGATGATGATAATAATAATGATAGTAATAGTAATGATGATGATGATAATGATAATAATAATAATAATAATAATAATAATAATAATAATAATAATAATAATAATAATAATAACAATAATGATAAGAATAATGATAAAAATAATAATAACAAAATAACAACATCAACAACAATAATGATATTAATGTCATATTCATTAATGATAATAACATAGCAAACATCGTTATTACCATTATCCTTATTACTATCATTACTATTATTATTATGATTGTGATAATGATAATAATGGTGCTAATGATGATGACAAGGATGATGATTATGATCATGATTATGATTATGATTATTATTATCATTATCATTATTATCATTATTATTATTATTATTAATATTATTATTATTATTATTATTATTATTATTATTATTATTATTATTATTATTGTTATTATTATTATTATTATCATTATTATTATTGTCATTATAATAGCAATAATAGTAGTAGTAATAATAATAGTAGTAGTAGTAATAATAATAATAATAATAATAATAATAATAATAATAATAATAATAATAATAATAATAATAATAATAATAATAATAATAATGATGATGATAATGATGATAATAGTAATAATAACAATAATTACATCGGCAGAGTCCACTTTGCCTGTAAGATTATGACGCGAGACTGTGGATGTAGTTGATGCTTGA